CAAATCCTAGTGTTTTCACTACAAGCTGAATGGCCATGGGACAGTACTTCTGCCTCATTTTTGTTCAATACGATGGAGACGATTATAACAAGGACACAGAATTGTGGATCCATCAGACCATGTATGATATATTTAACTTCTTGCTGTGTCTGATGTCTCTCCACTTCCTCCTTTTGTATCAGAGCTCATATCAAGCTAACACAGTTGTGCTGAAATTTTAGATCATGTAACTCCTTTTGGGAAGAATGAAGAGTAGGAGAAATTTAAAGGCAGTACTTTACTAACTATCGTTATGTATGATGAGTAAAGGTAAACATGTTATTCTGAGTAGTTTTAAACTACATGGTCCCCTGAATTATTTCAGGTTAAAAATTTTATACAGGTAAACATCAGAGAAACAGGAGCTCTGTTATGTGGGGCTGCAGGGCGAGCTACAACAATGACTTAGTGGCAGAACTGGGTATTAGCCTCCTTTGCCTGGGGTAACTAATTGTGGCTGTCTCTTTGGGGCTATGCATTTTAATTGCCACTCTATGAACTGTAAGAATGAAAACATTAATTTAAAAATTAATCCCATTATTAAAAACATGTAAAAATCACAAACCACAAAATACTGTGCAAGTCAGATAGAATGAAAATAGGTAAGAACTTACACTAAATTAAAAAATTCAAGATACTGTACATGGAACCCACAATTTTAAAATAACAATGTACATAGATCTAAAAGATTAAAATGATAAAAAGTTTAAATGAGCCTTAAAATGAGCAAAAAAATTTGATTTTACAAAATAATGTCTGGAAACATCATAAGAGCTTCTCATGGGACTGTACCTTTGCCTTAAAGGAAAAGACAGGAAGCCTTGGATTTGTTCTTTCACTTTGTTCTGGCACTTGTTGTATTTATAGTCAGGGACCAGGGAGTGGAGTTTTGATTGAGGACAAGGAGGAAGACTGGAGATTGGTTTAGGGGATGAGGAGAGAAAATGCTTTTTCCTGCCACTAGAGCACAGCTGTACGGAAATATGAGACCTGATGGGCTGAGGGGAAAATGTGCTGTTCTCAGTGACTGTATGTTGATCTGAAAGACCTCTGAGCATGTCGAGAAAGATAATTGACCTAGATATTTCCTCTTTTTAAGAAACACTCTCAAATATTGCAGCAACAAATAGATCTCCCTCTTTGAAATTTGACTTCCATTCTCTGGTTATGTCTTGCTCAGGATTCAGCTCTTAGAGTTTGATTTCCTCTCTTTAGGAACTATAAGAAGATCCTTTTCTTCTAGGTTTTTGGGCCTCTATCTTTACTTAGTACTTTTAAAAATTCTTTCATTTACCCTGAGATCTTTCCAGTTCTGTGAACATATTCACACATAGAAACACACATACCTACTTTCTACTCATGCACACAATTTGTGTCCAACCATGCACAGGCTTGGAGAGGGGCACACATACTCAGACATACAACCCAGTGCAATCCCATACACATACATGTGCACCTATAGACCCACTCATGGCCACACAACCTCCTCTAGCCATGCATAGCAGCTCTACCCATTCCTTCTTAGAAGCATAGACACATGCACAATCCATGCCCTAGTCTATACTGCAGGATGGCCTGCATGCACACAGGTCCCTGGGCACAGACATTGGCCTCAGTGCCTTTCTCTCCTCTGAAGGCTTCTCCTTGCTCATTTTTTACATTCATCACCAAAATTCTTCCCTTCTGCACCACAGATACAAATTAGAATGTTGTAAATTTATTGTTTCCTTCCCAGGGAGATTTTTTAAAGCTTTTCCCTTGTGATCTATAAATAATGAATAATTCTATTAGAAATGTGATAGGTAGTGTAACTTTTATGCAGTTTGTCAAGTTCAATGTTTCATGCATTTACTTTCATGACAGCCCCTAGCAGTGGCAGGTAGGGAGCTCAGTTGGCTGATACTACAAAGCCACCCTTGTCACACTGCCCCAAGTGTATTCCTTGAGTTCTTATAGGTAATGCATGCCTTTTATATTGGCTTTCTCTCTGCCCAAATAGGTTTGGGAAACACTATAGTGAATGGACTCCTTTAATGCAGAACTCTACAAAGTCTTTCATATGATAACTTGCTCTGTGCCATGTAGTATTTCCAAAACATATTTGACCAGGGACACTATTTTTTTCTTTGAAACATTGTATCTCTGTGCTCAGTGTTCCATAGCAAATAATCTCCAAATAGTGGTCTAATGAATGTAGTGCATTCTCTTCTGTTAGAGAGGATCTGTTTTGCAATTGCCCTTATTGAAAAGTTCAAATTTGCCTCATCATATCTCCATCAAATTGGTACTTTTTATATATTTAGTAAAAAAGTATAATGAAAATCTATCCTGGAGCCAGTGTATAATTCTGTTGAGTTCCCTGAAACCTTAAAACAGAACACTTAATTGTAACTTTCATTTTGGCTTTTTGCAAAATAGGCCTTTAAAAATCAATAATCTTTGTAGGAAAGGTAGTCTAATTATATTTTAACCAGGTATTTCCTTAATTAGGGTATCAGTTCTTAATGCATGATTAAGAAAACATTTAGCACATTAGCAGAGAAGCAGGAGAAAGAGAGAGAGAGAGGTGCAGAGATAGAGAAACAGAGGCAGAGAGACAGAAACAGAGAGAGAAGGAGAATATGAATTTAAATGGATCCCACAGGAAGAGAAATTGCAAAGTGCAGTACTGTGGATGGGGAAGGACAGGAATATCTGTGTTCCCTTCTCAGATTTCTTTTTGCAACTTTCACCTGTAATAATGGACCCCAGAGAGCCATCCACCATACTGAGGCTTTCACATGATTTTTTCATAATGTTCAAACTCTTATGCCCAATACCATGGCACAAGGCACAAATTCCAAGTAGCACATTGTGGGCAAACAACCTCTTTTTATTGCTTTTCCAAGATGAAACAGAGAGGAAATGTGAGGATGATCATCCTGCCAAAGCCTGCCACTCAGTAGTTGTCTCTTGTTTGCAAGACTGCATGCATCTGCTTTCTAAACTGCAGACTTGATCATTTAGTGATTTCCTAGTAAACTCATGATTGTAGTGGAGTCCAGACTTGGTCTGTGTTTAGTCTGTGCCTTTTCCTTTCAAAGTCATAACCTACTTTTGCTTATTCTTCAAGATCTCCATAACCTTGTACACTAATATTTAACTTTCTGCTTTGGAGATTTGCATTTTAACAAAGCTCTGAATTAGAGAATTGGAGCCACAGAAGCTCCCAGCCTAACCTTCAACAAATACTCTAGAATACTTTGGAAGGCTAGAGTAAATCTTCCCAGAGCACATAGCTGAACTTCTTTTGTAATAACTAAGCAATTATTTTATACTACTTTAGACTGTGAAGCCATAGAATGTCTTTGTTGTTCCCTGTCTGATTTTCAGCACTATGCACTACAGTAGGTACACAGCAGCACCTTGGCAGACTGTCAATGGTATAACTATGTACTCTTATTCATTTTTCTTATTGTATTTGTTGATATGGTAAAATGTGGTTTTCTAATAGCTTTAAAAAATGTTTTATGAATACTTAAGGAATGATGAATGCCAAACAAAACAGCAATGGAATGGAAATTGCACCTTACATTCCCAAGGCTGAAAGCCCATTTGCCCCATCATCACCCCTCTGTTTCCTAGACCTCTGAACTTATATTTCCACTGAGGAAGAGCACCCTGCTTCCTGCAGCAGGGCCCTCTGCTTTGGTTAACATTGCTGGAATTATTTTCCTTGCCTGGAGCAGTAATGGATTCCCCAAAGCAACCAGCCTTCAGGCAATGTCAGTTTCCCTTCTGTGTCACCCAGATAACAATAACACCCCATCTTTTTTTTTTTCGGTACCAGGGATCAAACTCAGGACCTTGTGCTTGCAAGGCAGGTGCGGCACCACTGAGCTAAATCTCTGGCCCTATCACACCCTATCTTACTCTTCATTCTCTCGGCTTGCTGTGAGTTCTCCAGGTATTGCTCCTATCTCTCTGATTAAATTTTCAATCTTCCTTTTGATTCTCATGCCCTTATACATGCCCTTGGAAATTGGTGCTAACAGAGCCTTCTTTGTTCTGTTTTTCTTGCTCCATTCACTTTACTTCTGTGTCAGAATGTATTTTGTGTTCAAACATCCTTGACAATTCCTGAATTCCTATAAGGTTGGAAAATCTCCTCAATTCTGCGTGCATATTTCCATCCAGCTATCAACACTCCTCCCACAGTCTTCCAGGTGCCTTAGACTTAGTAAGGGCAAAATAGAGCTCACATTCTTAGTGAAAGCTTCCTTTTTAGGAAATGTTCTATTTTATCCATAAAATAGGCTCCTCTAGAACATGTTAATCCCTCTATCATAATAGTGATATTTAACTGCCGTAAATCTCATATGCATGCACACATACATACACATTAGGAATCCTTTTTTATAAAACTAGTTTTTACATAAATTACTTCCTCGTGGAAAATTAACCTATATTAAATATGCCTATTTTTTTGCCCTCACTTCCAAAGGCATCCCACCATTTGACTACTTTTCATGAAAGGAATGAATGTTCTATGTACAAAAGTCACAGCTAATGCATACTTAAATTGTTGATTAAATATCATTTTAGTTCCAAGGTCACCTCACAATCCCCCCAAGTGCTACACTGAAATATGCTTTCCTTGAAGGCTTCATATTTTAAAAATATGAAACCAGTGTCACGATCTCATTTGAAACTGCCTCTGAATTCAGATAGTCTTTGCCAAGAACATGTTCTTCAAACAAGATGTACTGTTTCCACCCTGAAGATTACATTTAGGACAACAGTATCTCACAAAAGTTAATACTTTGTCAAGGTCGTTATAGAACTTGTCTCAGTAACCGTTTTCTCCTTCTTGGAGGGAGTTGGGGGAAGTCTTCTCTTGGCTTCGCGTGTGCCTGGGTTTGAAGTCGGGGTGCAAAGGCAGCCTCCGATCCCCGCTCATTTCTTTGTTGTCGTCCCTTCAGAATAAGATCATCCTGGACCCCATGACGTTCAGCGAGGCCCGGTTCCGGCCTTCGCTGGAGGAGCGGCTGGAGAGCATCATCAGCGGCGCGGCGCTCATGGCCGACTCCTCCTGCACGCGTGACGACCGGCGCGAGCGCATCGTGGCCGAGTGCAACGCCGTGCGGCAGGCGCTGCAGGACCTGCTCAGCGAGTACATGAATAATGTAAGTCCTGAGCTTTCTCCTCTCTCCTCTCGGTGGATTCTCTTCCAAGATCGCGTGGCTGTTAGGGAAGCGTGTGTAGCTGGCAAAGAGGACAGACGTTCCCTGTAGAGCAGCAGGTGGAGCTCTTAGGGACAGCCTGTGTCCTGATTTCGTTTTGGAAGGAGTGTTTCCTATGGGAGAGACGGATGGGGAGTGTAATCTTAGGAAAACTTTCACTTTTTACTTGAGTGATTTCTTCTGGGTCATTTTAGTGGCTGCAATTTAAGTAGGATTTCAAATGGTAACAGTAGCTGATTGATGAATGGATGCAAGGGAGGATATGCCAAGTTCTCTTTTACAGGGTGCTTTCAAAGCTTATCTTCAACCCTAAAAAGCATTAATAAATGTAGTAGGTTTGAAAGTGCTTGTACAGTTAAGGTGAAGTTCTAGCACAGTGAAACTTGGAGGAGCTCTGTTGATTTATTATGCAAATAGCATTGCTTGTAAGAGTGAGTTTGAGTTTTCAAGTAAATGTTAGTGGCATTTAGTTGTATTGTGGTACAGACAGAAACTCCCTCTCCAGTTGTCATAAAATGTGACAGTTTTGTGTACCCATAAACTACAAGGAGGTGAAGTCTGTATTATTTGCTTTGAAAGGCACTAGATTGCGGTTATACTGACCTGCTGCATGTGTTTAGTTGTGGTGATCCCTAGGGCTTGCAACAGCCAAAGATATGGAGTTCCTCGTCCCCAGTCCTGAGTTTGACATAATTCAGTATATCCTGGACAAAACTATATGTTGAAGGAATGTCCTGTGGAGTTGTCAGGTAGGTAATGGGAACACTGAAAGTCTGCTCACAGCTTTTGAAATCCATGGTCAGTGTCATTAGAATACACTGAGGCAAGGCTGAGGCCAAGCTGTTTTCCAGGGCCTTTCCAGTCCCATCATGACTTACCATGTGCAGCTCGCAGATGGGCAGTGCATGGGTCAGATATGGAGTAAGTGTGAGCGGTGACCGTACTCCTCCTGCCACAGTCGCCAGAGAACTTTATTCAGAACTCAAAACGGTAGTTAATGACAACACCCTACAAACTAAAATGCATAATCTGTTTCATTGAACCTTCAGGTTCTTTGATTTTGGAAGACTTGCCCATTTTCACCACGAGAATAAAGTGTGGATGCATCCTGGGTGCCCAACTGCTCATGAGGACTTCTGTGAGGGACCCTGGGTGGCTAGCACCTTCTGTGATTTGGGTTTGTGTGTGTTCCCTAGGGTTCACTTAGAAATGTTGCTCACCAGTGTCCCTCACTATGAGCAAAAGTTTTGAATAGTAGATTTGCAAACAAAAAAAAAAGATAAAAGGTAAAATCTGGAATTCTGTTTGTTGTTATTTTAACAGAACAGCAAAGGGCTAATTACTTGTCTGTGGAATTTGGTTTTATATGAAGGCATGCTAGTGTTTCTGACAGTGAAGAATTATTGACAAAGAAAGAAGTGGAAACTAAAGAGATAGTGATGGTTAAGATCTCAATATAAATAAATCAGGGGAAAAAGAGTGTTCCTGTGAATGGAAATCACTGACTGTGATTAAATAACATGTAGTTTTCAGTTCAGTGTTCAGAATACTGTCAGAATTTTTCTCCAGTGTAAATTTATACAGATCAGCGGAGGTGATGTATTTTTGTATTTTATTGACTCCAGACTTTTTTTTTCCAGAAACTTATGGTAAAGGAATGTTTTGTACTTTTACTAAAATCTTGCTGTATTTTGACATGGTTAGAGAGAATGGATTGAAGGGTATAGTGTATAAATTTCAAAGTGTACAAATTCTGTTCACATCAAGTTATCAGGATCAAAGCCCGAAACAAAACAATTCCTATTTGACTTTTATATAAACCATAGAAAATTTAGTTGAACTTCACATAATTTTCACTATTTCAAGGTAGAATTGGATTCAACTATACTGCCCTACAATCCCATTTCAGTGTATTTATTTATAATACCAAAAATCAATCTATATTTATTTTTATAGGCTATATATTAATAAAAACAACATCACACATCCATGTCTTGACTGAAAATTCTATTGTAATTAATAGTAACCAGTAGATTAGTCATTCCTGCATTGTTATATTTCTCTTTTTTTCTTTCAATTTTGCAAGCTTTAGGAATAAAGACATTAGTATTACCCTGCAGGTTTCATCTTAATGTGCTAAGCCTAATATCATTAGGATAAAGAAATCACTTAACTATAAAGATTTTTTTAAATGACATAACTGACATTTCTGAATTAAAAAAATGAAAAAATCCCTTACTGGTCCCAGATGAACATTCAACTCATAATACTCCCTTGTAGCCAGAGCTGTTCTAAAACCAGGTACATGCCAAGTGGTATGGAATAAAGGGAGATGGAAGCCACAGAGAACTGCTTAGGAAAAAGCAGTCTTCCTTGGACATGGGCTAAGGTTTGGCCACATGGGTGGCACTGAGGGTAGGATATCAGTTGTGGATTAGATATTGCTACAAATGTGTATGATTTGAAAAGGTGACAAAAATTATATACTTAAAGGCAACTGTGGTATTATTAAAAAAATAACTTGGGTAAAAAGATACCTGTGGTGAAAATTACAATCCCAGGGCAAGACAATGGTACAAAAATTGTTGGAATGGCTTTAGAAAAGCCTTGAGTGGCCTTAACTTGTTCTTTCCAGTTCTAGATATAACCCAAAGTGAGTATATTGTTCAAATAGTTCCCATTTAGACCTTCATTACTGTACATATGTGGAGACCAATGGGTATAGATTCTTTTTTCAAAAGTATATGTGGCCTTATAAATGTAAATTAGGATTAAGCTGTCAATGTGGTTGTGGTTGTTGGTGTATAATGGTGACTGTTCAACTGTTCCAAATTATAATGAACGCTTACAGTTTCTTCGTGAACTTATAATTTTGTGCAGTTTGGTTTGAGGCAATAAACTCTTTTTTTCATAAAAAAATCTTACAAGTGACCCATGATAGGATATAATGAAACAGTATTTTATTGATAAGAGTTCTGTGAGAGAATCATCCTTAGAATATTTTACTCATTGATCAAACGTGCATTGCTCTGAACATTGCTCTAGGCCTCTGGGTATACAAAAATGGGTAAAACAAAATTCTCTGTCCCCGTGAAACTTACAGAGGAGATAGTCAGTAAATGCATAAGTGATTTCAGCAGAAGTTATTTCAGATGGTGATGAATACAAAGGGGGAACAGAAAACCTAGGAGGGTGGGAACATGGGAGCTGCTCTAAGTAAGGGTGGCCTGAGAAGTTAAGAAGATGGTATCAAAGACCTTTTGGAGGTGAGGGCACAAAGGAGTACTTGAGTCAGAAGGAACTAAGAAGCACTTAAAGAAAGGGCCTTCCTCTGAGCAGTTGCCAGGTATGTCTGAGCACCATGAAAGGCCAGAGTGGCTACTGTGAGTAGAGCTGGTAGGAGGTGGAGTTTGCTAGGTGATGGGGCATCAGTCTGTGCAGAACCACATGTACCATTATACAGAACCTAACTTTTAATGTCATGCAGTGGAAGTTCTCTGGAAAGTGTTGGAGAGAAAATGCCATGATTCAGGTGTTGAAAATGGGCCATAGAAGTTCAAGGCAGGGGAAACGAGGACAGTGAAAGAGGCCCTGGGATCTGGAAGAATTCAGGAGACAATAATCTCCTGGTCAGGTGGTAGTAGTAGCAGTAGAACAGTTTTCAAATTCTGCTTATATATTTTCTTATAATGCAACCAATGAGAAGAATGTATCTGTTTTATGAACATAAGAGAGACATCAGCTGCTACTACCAGGATATCTTCATTTTGTTTGGGTTGCATAGAAAGTTATGATTTACTCAGATAGAATAACAATTTGTAAACATCTCACTTGGAGATGTCTGGATACTCTGTGAGACAGATTACATTTGGAAGGGTAGTTCAGTAGAAAAAATTTGCTCAATGTTGTATTATGCAAAATGTCTATGTATGGTTCACATTTTTATAAATATAAAAAATTGGAAAATATAATACTTATTCCAAGTATTAATGGATAATGCAGAACTCTAAGAAGAAAATTAGTACTTATTCTCAGTACTAAAACTATCAATGCAAAACAATAAGGAAAAGCATTAAGCCATTACTTCTCCAAGCACAATTCACTATTAGGCCTTGATGATAATATGTGATAAGTGTATGTGTCTGGACTTTAGTGTGTGTTACGGTGCTATAAACAATATGGTTTAGTTTTATATGCATAGACTCTGTGTAGCTCTAAAGTTTTTAAAAGTTCAATGGAGAGCTACCGTTTTATTTAAACAATCATAGTATTAGAGTTCAACTGTTTATGCAGTGATAGCAGAGGTCCTGTTGGTCTAAAGTAATGATTTGCTGGTCATTGCTGAGTTAAACTAAATCATGTTGCATTTTAAAAAATAACTAAAATTATATATTTTAAAAAACTATTTGGATACAACTTTTTGCAAAATGAAGCCTCTCTCGTTTAATTTGTAAAGCACTAATATAATCCACAGGAAATATGCACAGAGTCTTTGCTCTAGATTGGGACTTAAATAAAGGTGACTCCTAATCGGGCCTCCTTCTGAGCCTTGAGGACTGAATGAGGTCTAGAAAGGTCATTCACAGCCTTCTCTAAGGCCTACACCACAGGACACTCTACAGATTCTTCCTCAGCAACACTATGTGTTGTAGGTGACCTGGTATTCTAGGACACAGGGCCTCCATAAATAGTGGCTTTTATGCTATTCTTTGTTCTTTAAATAACAAAAGGAAATGCATATTGATTGTAAAGGAAAATGTGAAGAAAGAAGAAAAATGATCTCATCCTCTATAAACAATCAATATTTTTAAGCTTACATGAGTGGTCTATTTACACACACACACACACACACACGCATGCATGCCTTGATTTTTTTAAAAAAATTAATTCATACTGTAAATGATGTTTTTTAATCGATTTACTCAATATATTGTGATATATGG